AGAAGTCGATACTCATTACACTCTTATTATCATGATTGAACTCTTCCACGTGGTGTTCATTTCTGTTCTCTTTCTCTCTTTTCCTTTCAAATAAATATTATTCGTAATGTTCCGAAGTTTGTAATTAAGACAATATCTTGTATTACACTTAAATTAATTTCTCAGACTCGTTTTATCTTCACTATGTATATATAACTCATGCTTATTTATATTTGGATATCTTTTGCATTTTATTAGGACTTTCATAGGATCACTTCAAACTATTACTCCATAAACGTGTATTCTACCGTCACATCCTACTGCAATAGTAAGTTGATTTCTTATTTATGCTATTCATTTGGCGATACATCCATGGTCGTTCATTGTTGTTCTCTGTTCACAAACAGGTTTATTAAACTATTCACGTATTTCGAGTTTTCTTCATTTCTATTCCCTTATTTTCTTCCTTTCCTTCTTTAAAGTCAACTCAATATTCTTCTCAATTACTCAGAACCTCATTTATTATAATCTTATTATTCTATCATTCTTTTTTTTCGTATATGGAGAATATTACGTTACCATAATTTAGACTTGTGTATTATTGCTTTTCTGAGGAAACCTAAAATGTTTTTATACAACACTTATGTACTCATAAGCTGTTTGTGGATAATGATTATGATAATCTTTGGTATTCTTCTCGAGACGGTTGCAAGACAGTAAATTGAGGTGTAGCACTTTCGGTAGGGAACATCTAGCTATGTATTGTTCTGTACAGCACTTTCAACTCTCTGTCAAAGGCTGAAAATTCATTCTGTTCAACAACCAAAAATCCCTCACTTTTACTCATATCTCGTTATTAGACAAGTACTATACTTGAGAGTCTCGACAAGCGGACAGCATTTCGCAGCTTACTTCATGTATACAACATATTTCTCGGGTAAACAGTGTAATTGTAGACGTTTTGTCACGTATAACTTCCTTGAGCGGTTTTCGAAAAACCGGCCTTCATAAACTTGCTGTTTCAAAGAGAAATCACTGATATCATCGACAACCCTGAAACTACGTATTAAAGAGATGGGAGCAGGTAGGAAAATTCACTATGTGACACACCTACAGGTAGGGATTGTCTAATCGTGCCCAAAACATTACCGACGCAACATCTCAAAACGTTGCACATACATTATCATCCAGGTGTCCCAGCAACCATCAAGCACACAGCAGAATGATTTTGCTAGCCTGGTATGAATAAAGACGTGAGGGAGTGAGCATGTTTTGATGTAGGCTTTCAGAAATCTAAGGCAGTTAGACACAAGTATCTAATAGGCTCATTAAAAATTTCCGAAGCTGGTTTTGACCATGCTAATCTTGCTTACCAGATTTAAACGGAAATTCTCACCCATTGACGTATGTAGAACACTTCAATCGGTGGTTGTAAGCAGTAACCATCAAGAAAATTAACGCTGAAACAATGGTTAATGCTTTCATCGAACGACGGACAGCATACATCTACTGCAATTCAATTACTTTACAAAACGCGGATGCCAGTTCAAATTTAACCATTAGCGTTGTCTTTCTAAACTATTAGGAATCACACGATTCCAGACGATTGTCTGCCACAAAAAGCGAACAGGTCGGTAAAACGATACAACCGACAGTTGAAAGCCTTACTTTTGGCTGTTAACGTACTACAGTGGACTGATGCCTTTACATTCGCGTTACTCGGTATTGTCAATGTAATAAAAGCTGAAGTTGGATACGCTGTAGAACAATTCCTTAACGAAACGACATTTCAACTTGTGGGTCTTTTTTCTACTTTAGTGGACGTGAATCTAAACTTCTGCGAAATCAGGAGTACAAACGCTTCCCATCCAGTCAAGCCTATTCGACCGCCTAATATTGGTGTTTTGTCTATCGAGATTCATTACGATGTCACCTCGAAATAGCTAATTAAAAAGAAAATCCTAATCATGTTGATCTTCACGGTTACGATGCCATTTGTGATCATCCACAACCATCACAAGACTTTGCTGTCATCTGGAAATTGACCCAAAACAACGTGCCCTGAAGGAGGTGTAAGGTAAATAGAACGATTAGGCGGCTCAATATCAATCCTTCAATCACTAGATCTTTACGCACCAGAGTATAAGCGTCTTAGACGTGACAATCGAATGGCTTGTACCATCTTAAACACTTCTGGGCGTCTCCTTAAACACCTACATAAGCTCAATCCGATTATGAAACTTAGCCGTAACACCCAGAAACTGAAGTCACAATATAGCAGAACGGATTGTAGACACATTTTCTTCTCTTTGAGAGTAGTTAAATGCTGAAATTCTCTGCCGGCTGATCTAGTCCAAGCGACTTCTCGAGAGTCCTTTAAGAGAAAGGTTGACATAATCTTAAAAATTAAGGAGAGTATCTTGCTACAAATTACTCTTATTTTTCTCTTTTATCACTAAATATATCTAGGTACCTACCTGACGGCATCAGTGATCCACCGCTAATAGATACGAAAACCCACCACTCGCAGTCATTCGTCATTGGACAATTGACTAAGAATCAGCTAACATTGGCGGCGTTTACACACAATGTCACTCTGGAGGTTAGCAGGAATAAAGTATGTTGTATCTGATATTATGTAGTCAATTCCTCCAGTTACATAAGATACTCCTCAATTTGTGCGAAAGCTGTTAGAGAATGCTTGAAAAGTGAATACAAGGTCGATGCATCCAAACGAGTTGGGAAGCATGTAAAAGTAACAAACTGGAAAGATGGAAAACCAATTAGTATTCGTTCATATTTTAAAAGTTTGATTTTTAGAAAATGTGGCGTAAGAGACAGTGTGTATGGTTATGATTCCAACATTTATGTGGGTAGTTGAAGTAATAAATCAACCTTAGAAATTAATTTGATAGCCAAATGTATATGTTCTCTTCAAACTTGTCTTTGTTGTTAATTGACTAGATCTGACACCCTATAGTGGTTAACAACTAAACTTGGTAGCCCGAAGGAATTATTTACGCCCCGCTATATATGTACCCACCCCCTCGAGAGAAGTATTTACTTAACATCCATTCAGTTTCCGTACGCAGTTGGTGGTACTGTTCAAAACCAACCCCAGTGGGTCATGTACTCTTACTCATCTACTAACCCTAAATCCTGAGTTGAGGCTTACTCTGTTCGTTATATTACGCAACTTAATTCTCCCCGAATCGTGTGTAATCTTTTAGTTGGATATTGCTACAACTCTGCTATCCATTATGGGGATTTTATCTTTCTCCACTTATGTGGCAGTTCAAGCCAGTGTGCATTTACTCGATATTGCCCTGTCTCTGACCGACTTATCATAATTCTATAAGCCTAGGTTTCGCCAGGTTGAACAAGGAAATTATTTTATATATTAAGGAAATCGCAACGTTAGTGATAATATATCAAGCCTTACTTAACTTATATGATTAGTGTGTGGGGGTTTTTGTCAAAGAAAAGCCACTACAACTAGTTAGATGTAAGAATGGCTTCAATTTCGAGGAAACCTAGTCTACTTCGTCTGATCCTAAATAGTGCGCTGCTGAGCCCAATTCTTTCTTCTTGTACTATATCTCTATATGCAATCTTTCTCTTATATATTACCACCTTTTACCTAACCACTGTTATGAATCCGGTGTTCATCTTGTTGTGCTGATGCGGTATGGCAACCTGGACCGATGCACATATGTGCCTGGTCCTACGTTGTAACTGACTGACTGAGCCCTTTGTCAAGGCACAATGTTTGCTGTTATGTGAAATAGGAACATAATTCATGTGACTGTTGACACATGTTCGGCCGTCAAATAAAAAAGCCAGGTAAAAATGATGCGAACTGTTTGTACAAAAGCACAAATTATGACGAGGTCACTTTAAGGAAGTACTGTATGTTCAAGATGTGCCTATTTCCTTAACCCAACCTATATCGATCACCTATTATTTGCGTTCGGTATACGTAGACGCCTCATTAAACCGAGTAGTGACTTCGGTATGTTTCGTGCCTATCTCAACGATGTCGTTGCTGCTTCAGCAGACTAAAGTATAGCATAAAGAGTCGTTGCGCCCTAGTTAGTGCCTAACTAGTTTGTTTCAAAAAGTTCTGGGGTTCATTACCCACAAATTTAGCTCAGACAAACTTAGTTATTTTTTCACGTCGATTGATAGCTAGACACACGTCAGAAGATATGTATATCAGAATAAACATTATTTTCTACTTTCAAATATTACTACGAACAGTACTACCCGTGCTGAATGCATATTCAACTTTTCGAAGCCAAAAGTCAGTACCTGCGGGCAGCGAAGTCCGGTTGGTATACACAATCATAATTATGGGGAAAGTATCACATCCCGGCCTAGCTTTTATTTAAAATCAACGGGTATGGTGGCTGTACATGTCGCCTTAGCCTTTTGATCGGACAGTTTGGTGAAATCAGTCTTTCGTATCTTTCAAATTGCAGCTTACACTGATCCAACTAACAGCATATACCTCGCCTTTGTGATTAAATGGTTGTAAAATATTGATCTTCGGATACCTGTCAAGATAAATCCCATTTGCGATTATCTCAACAGGTGAAGTGATTACGGTCCTTCACAGAACGATATTGCAACTAGGTATCTGCGTAATTATGTTGTAGTAATTCTACCTTAGAGTGCTTTATCATTTGTACGGAAATTTTGGTAGGCGAGTATGTGGAGTTCTGAAAGTCGTATTTATCACCTCGCTGTAAGTGCTGTTTATTTAGAAGTAGTCAGCAGTACGAATTGTCCTTCAAAACTAGAATGCGATTCTGGGTATCCAACCTACTAGTCAAATATCATGATACCCAGAGGGAGAAGTATTCCTATCATCAAAATAGGGGGATCTTGATCACTTCCCGATGGATGCTTTTGAAACCGAAGATACAGCATTTTACTTTAGTACTAAAACCACATCGGCTTTACATACAAAATAGTTTTTTATTTGGGAATAAACGAATATTTATGAAAGGATTATTTTTTTATTTAGCTTTTAATAGTTTTAACAAATTCATTCGCAAATGGTCCGGGGCAACATCTATGGGTGTTCTGCCATCCTAAAAAAACAGCACATAATAGACCGATTTAACAAAATGAATCAAATACGTATGTAACAAAACAAGTAGTCTAGGATTTACGAACTACTGACTATGTAGTGAGCCAATTTATTCGGTGATACTACGGCAGGGTACTTTGACCCATGTATATCTTACTTAGATTCTGACTTATTTAAACCCGTCTAACTTTTTTTTACTAAATGATCTTGATGTCTTGTCTTAGTAGAGTTTCGATACAGCTGTAAGTTACTTGAGTCTTGGCTTTAGTATTTTGAAGGAGTCAGCCGTGGACATTGAAGTGCTAGTGGAGATCTCGAGTGACGGCCGTCAATTCTATGGAAACAGCCTGAAAAATGCCTTTATAGTGTCGGTTCCCCATGTTCTATTTTAGCAGTTATTCATGTACTTACTAGGAGTTTCGTCACAACGTTCATCTTCTTAGAAAGGATGGTAGTGAAAAATAATGTGTCGATGTGAAGGAGTAAGAACGTCTAGTAAATAAACTATTTCTATCTGACTATTTAAAGATTATACTTATACCAAGAACTCATCATATCTGTTTTAACTTGTTAGGTAACTCGAATAATTCGGTTGTTTGCTATGTGGATAAATAATCTTTATATTGTTGTCTTTAGGTATGTTTGGCACGGATGATCGACGCTTTGGATTGATGTACAGTAAAAATTGTGACTAGGATACAGAGATTCATTATATCGAGTAGGGTTAACATCTTCGGAATTCAGAAAACAGATTAAGACACTAAATAACGTTTCAAGGAAGAAATATTTTATGGTAGTTTTGATAAGTTGTTTTAATTTACACGGGCAGACGTATCTAAAGTGACATGACGTTGAGCTTAATCGAGATAAGTATTCAGAGATAAATGCATGAATTGAAGGATTTTGTAGTTAGCCACTGTACGGTTGTGATTATCTGGAAAAGTACAAGCGTATTACATAACTAAAGTCGATGACCAAGAATAGTGATATCTCAGGTAGCCTAATTGAACTTTTTAGAATTATAGGAATTTGACACCGTTTTAAAATTGGATATCAATCTAAGGACGTTTGGTTGTTAACTAATATTTAGTGACTTATCATTGAAATAAGACGAAAACCAGTACGTCACAACTTTTGGTGCATACTTACATCAAAACAATGACCAACATAATAGTAATTGCCTTCACTCTCCTCAACAAATAGATGTATGGAAAGATTTTTTAGATAAGTGCACGGACATAACCTGATTGCCGGGATGAAATGATAATAACCACAATTAGGTCACAGACTCATAGTAACTACATAAATGACGGGTCATTTCCGAGTAATACATCAGATCCCACAGATTATTTTTAATTGATATCAACCTTAACACTACAGTTGACAGGATTTTTTTTTAGATTAGTCTGGTGCGTACCATACATTTGGTAGAGACAGACAGCTCTTTAGTTAGTCTACTATTATTACCTTGCCTTTAGTCGGTATAGGGATTACAGACTGTAGAAGAAATCTTGTTCGACAAAAGTGTCATATTCTCGCTTAAGACTGGGTAAAGCATGTTATATTGTGGTGTGTGCTACTTATATTGACATAAGTAGTGTATGATGTTTGTCGTAAACAGAAGGTCTGTCAACAGAGAGACATGAGGATCGAACAGTAAAGAATGGAAACAGGATGCAATTTATATGAAAATGCAAGAACAATGAAGTCTGAGTCATTTTAAGACAACTGATGAACATTTCGCAAACTAAGCATTTACTGGATGATTGTTAGATTTTATTAACAAGTCCTGTAATTTTGTGTTAAATACATTCAATTGTCCCCACTGGTGTTCGTGTTCATTACAATATGATAGAAGTATAAACTACTAAAAGGCGAAAATGGGTTTGGTAGTAGAATCACGAAATAATCATTTTCATGCTACTATTGCACTGATTTGACAGTTAGTATCTTTATGTGATTTTGTAGTACGGTACTTCATATATTTAGCCGTAAAAATATTAGCTGACTAGTATGTTTAGGGTCAAACATCCATATCTCATCTCGATAATCTCGGAACCATTTTTGGTGTATTCACTTATCTACACAGGGATAACAGATTATTTTAGCAGATGATCAATATATGAGAAAAAGCCAATACGTTCAGTAGACTTACTGTATCTTTATGATTTACAGAGGCACCATAATTCATTAGTAAAGTTGCAGCTTGGAAATTGCCTTCTTCGCATGCATAATGTCTATAATAAACAAGTAAAAAAGACATGGTATTGATGCATAACAAATAATGTGATTTTTCCGCAGTAAAAAGAGGTGTATGAGCGAAATTAATTCTACACTGAGAAGTTAAATATTTTACGATAACTAGTTTAACAACTGAACAGCGGTGGCTCTAAGCTTTCACTCGATTACAAAGTTAAGTTTATCAGTTTTTCTAGTCAGTCGTATTACAGTTTAACTAATAACTAAAAATCACAAAATACTACAAAAAATATATTTGACTAGTTGGTTTTGTTGATGAATTTAAATGAAGTCAAAATGACAATTGAGACAATAATGAGTTCATATTTCGTGGTTTCTCTTCAGCTCTTTACGATTGTATTCGTTTTAGTGTAACAATGAAATGTAATATGAAGTAACAAATATCAGTGATGGAATGATAACGACTGTCAATTGTGTATATATTATAATGCATGTGTGAGGTTGTTCGAAGATGCAATTCAAAAACAGGATTGAGGCAATCCGGAAACTGGTAATCTTACCTGTGCAGTTATTATGAGTTTGAAGGATTTACAGAAGTGTAAGAACATTTGGAGGTATACGTAGAAAACGTGGAGTGGAGATTTGGTAACTGTTTAGAATTTGATACTAAGTAATGACTATAGAGATTCTGCATTTTTGATGATTAAGTTAGTGAAACACGGACAACACATCATTTTAGCTTGAATGTAGTAACTTAGCCTAGCGAAGATTGCCGCACAAAATAAAAGCAATTAAGGTGATTTCAATCAAAAATGTGGATTTACCGAGGCAATGTATTGTTAACGCCAACAAAATACCGCCTGTCAAATGCCGAGTTGTTGTACTGTTTAGACTTGTACATTTCAGTCTGAAATTCTTTGGAACGTGTTCGGAAATGCGAATACATACTCTTGTTTCCTCTATAACTCGATTTTAAGCCCCATTCTATGACGTCTAGTAATACCATTCAGTTACCCCAAAAAGGGAGATCAAGCGAAGTTCGAAACACGGTCTGTCAGTTGAAAACCGAGTACATTAACTAAGCTGTTTTTTTACCAAGGCTTTACAATCTTATTTGTAATATGTATTATATTGCTCAACTTTGGAAGGAGAGTTTTAAATCATGGAATGGAAAATGTGAATGATCATATCCCAGTTCATTTGTAGATGAATTGGCAATTTGTTGATATGCAACGCCATAGAATAAAATGTTTTTATGACTCGTAAGTGAGAGGCTTTTCACTGAAACTACAATAAATACATTATAACTAGTCATAGGTTCATGAAGTCGACCTTCAGACATATTCGTGTTATTACTGAACTATTCAGATCAAAGTGGTGCGGATTAGTTTTTGACATGTTAATAAATAATTAAAATCATACGGTTTACACATTTCCTAAGAAATGGACTTTTACCACATGTAAGATAATTTTTATTCTAATACTTATCAACCACGGTAAGATTTGTCAAACTTTCGGTAGGATTAACAACATAATTACACAAATGAAACCATAACAACGAAACGATGGAAATTTAGTGGTTGGTTCTAATCAATACGTGACAATCTTGAACATTACTCCAACCGGTTTGGAGAGCTGAGTCAACAAAAGAATCAAAAGCTCTCAAACAAAATGTAGCTAAGAGTTTGTGATATAGTTCTAAAATCGGTTAGTGAGTCAGACTATTCTGATATGGTAATGCGAAGAAATGTTATTTGTGGTTTACAATATATAATATACTAAATGATGAGTGAAATTAATGAAAACTTATTATTCTAAACCTATTAGAACTAGGATTGACACTAGTTTACTACTTAATCATAATAATATCATTACATAGTTGTGGAGAATGTCAATTTTTAATTGAGGTCATGAACTGATCAGTGTTAGACCATGATTAAAAACCTGGAAGCACTGGACAGCTGTTGCGTTGTGATGTGGGACTCGTCAGCAGTACGTATCCACGATCCCGCACGCGGGGTTTTAACCGGGGACTTTCGATCTTGCGCCAAATGCTGAGGAGTCCCATACCTGGACGAAATGGCCATCTAGTGGTCTAACATTGGTCGGTTCATGTTCTCAATTAATAATAAAAATAATTCTCTGACAAATCGTAAGTAAAACTGTACAGCGTCTATAAAGCGTTACTAATTGTTTTGGATTTTACAATCATTTGAGTACAAATTGATGTATCACCCAAAATAATATGGAATTATGGAGATGAAATGAGAAGCGATAACGCGACCATTAGTTATTAGATGTGCAACAAACGTACAAAGACATTTAGACGTAACTACTTTCTTATTTTTCCAATTTAGAAAGTGATGATATCCCTTCATATACTTGAATGGTGAATCACGCTTGATGACGACTGGAATTTGACAATTTTATATAAGGAGGCGAGACACCAATAACCGACAAGCTTATCGTTTATGTTATCATGAGATGACTGATTTAATAGAATATTTATAGTGCCAGTAGACAGTAATGACTTTTATGAACTGGGATGTGTAATAGCGTTGTCCCAAACAACCAATCTGGTGTTAGAACTTTGTAATAAATCGATGTAAATGTAAACCATGTGTTTAAATGTCGATAATCGGATTATTTGAGTAATAAATTGTCAGTAAAGACAAATAGATGATCATACAAAATCTAAAAAGTATGAAACATTTGTTTTCTATGCTCAAGTTCAGTAAAAACCTGTTTATTCGTATAGCAGAATAACATGATGCTAAACACAACTTAGCAGATGATAGTTATGTACAAAGAACAGAAAGTGTCGGAGACAGATTCTTGTTTATTTATAAGTGAAAACTTACAGAGGTGTTTGGCCTTGTTTGTCAGTTAAATCAACAAGCGTTGAAAACAGTTTATTGCAGCCTTCTTCATTACCAACATCTTTTTCAGTGATTGTATGGTCTAAAAGATGTTTGGCTATATCTAGGTTTTCTGTGGCGATTGCACGATGAAGCGGTGTAACTCCTCCCCAATCTTTTACGTCTGGTTTCGCACCAGCATTTAATAGCTGTTTGACCAACTGGAAAAATAATGTTAGGAATGTAATTTTGAACTTGTCCGTTTAGTATAATTAAGAATAACATCAGCTTGGGACACCAAGAATTATTAAAGAGAATAAAGTTATTGTTTTTACTATTATGATCAGAATTACCAGTAGAAATTCGACAGCAGCGATGTAAATTTCAAGTGTGGTCAGACTCCGAAACGTCTATGCAACAGTAGACATAGACAACTTCTTGTAGGGAGACTAAGTCTCCACTTTTATCCAACATGCTATTTTCACGATACCGTAAAATATTGATATCTCTTCTATATTCGTTTTAATACTGAACAAGGACAGCAATAATTAGCGAAGTCACTGATCGTTAGGTTAAAGGATTTAGGAAGATGCGATCTATTTATGACTACAATAAAAATGAGGGGAAAAGAATCGGGAGCAGTTCAACCGGTCAAACTTTAATTAGGCACTAACAGTTACCATCGAATCGGATCTCAGACATCATTGTATGACATATAGCTCTATAAGGTTGTTGAAATTGCTTTTTAAATAAATCCTATATGGAATCGAACAGGTTTTCAGATTGAAGGTTCAATTAATAATTTGTTAGAACGATGCCTTGGAGTGATCGGAACAAGCTATATTAGTGAGAAACGACATTTTTATTTAGATTCGCGTAATTAAAATAAGTATAGCTAGGCATATGGTAATTATATTTTAGATAGGAACCCGAATGAGAAAACGTATATACATAAGGCACATGATAATGCAGTGAATATATTTAAAATATACGGAAACGTACTCACCTGAAGACGATTTTTAGAAGCACAATAGTGAAGACAGCACTGACCTGTCGAATTTATTACATTTACATCAGCATGCTCTTGCTCTATAAGATATGAAGCTACATTAGCACGTCCAGCGGAAATAGCAATCATAAGTGGAGTCCAGTTAGACTAAATAAAATAATGGATGAAAAATATGATGATTTACAATGTTTTTTAAGATGATACAGACCTTTTACATGATCTTAAAATTCATGAATGCTGATAACATACCAAACATATTTTTGGAAGACTTAAGTGTTGTTAACAATTTTATCAAACTTGAGGATATCTAAACAGAAAATCAATCCTGAAAAGGTTGAAGCTAAGCAGAGTCACTCCCATCAGCATACCTATAATGAAGTTGAAAAAGAGTAGTGGCAGTAGATATGCTCGATAACACTACCTATTATTGCCACTTTGCATGAAAATTTCCCATGAACACCTATATTATGAACCATCAAAAATTTCCAACAGCAACCTGGTCTCTTATAAAATATCCCTGTACGATTGAGCGTTAACAGTCTCTAAGGGTTATCCTATACACTGCTCTTACGAGGTTCCAGTTCAACGAGTGTAAAAAGTGGGGAACTGGTTCACAAATCAGATCAATGAGCATGGAATTCGCTTGAAGAGGAACATTTATTGTATTTTAAACGCTCAGACAGTATCACAACTCTCACAGAAAAAGACATGGATGAAGTTCCTGCTTTGGCTTATGAAGACATGCGAGCCAAATATTTTGCCACTCAAAAATTAATATTAGACTAGTTAATGCTGAAGAGTTGCTTTTTTTGACGTTTAACTATTAGTATTGACAGGGTCCAAATAATATTAGGTCCTCCTCACTACAAGAGTTGTTTATATCATGGTGAGTTGAAAGTTTCGCTAAAAGTAAGGGGTGACTAGCGAACTAATATATTTTAATGGAGATAGAGCAAGTATACTTTGTCAAAATAGCATACTACTAAAACCACAGTTTTTTAATACACCTAAAAAGAACTCTGTTATTTTTTATAAATGAAAAACTAGAAGTATTCAAGTGGACTTAAAAATACTTATTACCTGATCTTTGCAATCTTTATCGTAACCTCGAGTCAGAAGAACTTTTACCAACTCTAAATGACCTCCACAAGCCGCCCAATGAAGAGGATTTCGCCCAGCCTGCAAGTATTGAGTCCAGAGTTAAAAAAGTTCACAATGAAACCTGGTCAACAAACGACTTTTCTCCATCCGATTCCAATATTTTTAGTACTGCAGTAACAACCCCATCGTACGCAAAGCGGCATACTGCTAAGTCAGACATCAAAATTTAGTCAACTGGGCAGCTTTGAGCTATAAACCTGCAATGAAATAGAACAGATGGTAAGTTAGCAAATGAAACTAAAAAATATTAGTAAAACAATCCACCTTTTATCGCAAAATATTATTTCCACAAAATTCCTGAACTTTCAAGACAGTTGATCTAGTTAAATAAGAACTACTTGGGTAGTGGTTTAATTAAACAAATAGCCTAGAAACAAGAAAGTAGCTTGATCTTATTCCACCATAAAATGAGGTTCATAGTTAGTGATTGTTGCAATATAGACAAGTGTTAGATCACATCGCCTGGTCAAAAAGGAAGTATTACAACAAACAGGTGAGACTTTTTGGCTGAATCTTGCAAACACTTGCCCTACAGCAACACTATTAGTGATGAACTAGTAGAATGAATACTGTACGAATTATACTTTTGTCACAGAATGGTCTAGATTATCTATCAAATAGTATTTTGATAGACAGCATTACTGACCACGATTTGTGAGACAACTATATTCCGTGCCTTTAAGTGATATGGCTTAGCAATGATGTCAGTAGAGATGAACCACGCCTTTCGCAGGATTTTGAATATGGTATTACTCTTTTGAATGCACTTGGCTTTTTCGATCGTTTAATATTGTCACTAGTTTTCTATTGACGTCATTAAACAAAGACAGTATTTAATATTGTCAACACCCAATCTTTGGAGAAAGATTTATCATTTCTAGAGAAGTAACAGCATAAAACTTTGTTGAAATGCGCCATAAATCCTAAACTTTCCTCAGTCCTGAGGATTTTCCTCGAATTTCCAAATTATTTAGGGAAAATGCACTGTAGTACATTTTATCGTATAACCACGTTAGAAGTGCCGCATAACGACAAGCCACAATATCAACTTTGTAATATTGTAAACTGGTTACTTAAGCAACCTTTATATACTTTTTAAATACGAGCGATAGCAATCAAATGTATTTACCTACATTCATCTACATAAGGGATGGCTCCATTGTTTTCACAGACTGCGTGTTCACGAAATGTGTGCTACGTTTAAGCCAACAGCAAATAATTCATACAACCATTGTTATTATAATAGTATTATAATACGAACAAGTTAATGAATTCGACACAAGAAATTTGTACTAGGCTTTTAGAGAATACACAACAAAACATATTACTAAAAATAAATATTACATACATAAAAAGAACCACAACGCACTAAAAGGTTTGAAGGAGTAGCTAAGTGGGCAACGACACAGTGGCATCGTGGTGTAACGCTACTAAAAATCATTACATATGACGTTACTAATGTGAGTCTGTTTTCCCTATTGCAGGGCAACAAAGAGTGAACATATTAGTTCTTCTCGGTCTGAGACAAGTTAAAACTACCTCAACTATGCTTACACGACCTTGATAAGCCAAAGCGGCAGAGGGCATTTTGTATTTGAATGCTACGAAGTGACTAACTTGATCTTATAATACATTGATGGTTCAGCATATGTGTACTTGTAACTTTTGGGTAAATCTTAAAACACTCTTATTGCTGTGCCGCTGCAATAAATATATGTTACTTTGCATTTCATAACTATGTAAGCTTCATTAGGTTTGAGGATCGAATCGTTAGAAAAGTCTGAGATACTACTGTTGATAAGTCCTCTTCCACGTATCCGGAATCACGTGTTCAATAGCTTAATTCTGTTCAGATTCCAGCATGATTATCTTTGCAGTATATCGTGTTATAGAAAAATATTGTCCGGCCGCGTTAACTGAACTCACTCAGCGGAACACAAATGTCGAGTGAATATTGACTTCCAGGACTTCTCCAAGACATGTAATAGGGTTACCATACGACACAGTTGCGTGACGATGGAGATTGGTAATTTAGGTTAATGATTTTACTAAATTTTCGTTCTCTAGACTGGATGGCTTACTCGAGGAGCATTATATGCACTTCTCAGTACTGACGATTTTCGGTAGATCAATTAAAGTTTTTCAAAAAGGCCATCCAGATGAGGACAAGACTCCATCAAAGACGGTTTTATATGTCTTGTCCGTCTGAAAAACATTTCTTTTTACCATCTTTTTAGGCGTTTTAGGGATTCGGTATCTTGACAAACTCAAGATTTGACTGTATGAACTTGTCCAAGCAACTCAATGGCTGTGTACCCTAATTACATCATTCGCTTTTATCATTTTGTATATTTTATACTCATGATCATACTTATTTGCTGCATATGTTGCTATGTAATTGTGCCTTGATTTTATGTAAGGAGATAGGAAGTCGCATAACAGATGGATGGTTGTAGCATGCAAGCAGTTATCATTCCACCAAGGAAGAGTGATGCAAATTCAGGTGTACGTGGAAGAATGTGGGCTTCGAGTAGTTCAATATGAATCAAGAAAGTAACCGAAAGTTTTGAGAGAAATCTCCGGGACTTGTCTGTAGACTTTAATTCCGATTACGTATTATCAGGAGTTTAAAACTGTCATTGGTAATTTAGAGATCAGGTAATAAGTGGTCTAGTGTCCCTAACTGACTCTTTTGTTTTGTCAGACTGGTGATTGTTACACATGTTCTGCACTATAATCAAACAGGAATCAAGGGCCAGATGCTACATGAGATTAAAACTGAAGCGAAAGCCGATCAGACTGCTTTGAAAACTTTGGAATTATTTATATTAATGTGTCCTACGGTATAACTATTGAGATATTGAACAAGTGCTATCACATGTAACATCAAAGCTTGCCTTTGATATCTCATCTTTTTAAAACTTGGTAAGTCAAATTGTTTAGTGAACATAGGTAGCAGTAATAATCACCAATACATCATCATTAGAATAACGCTCCTATAAGTCCATTGGGAAGAAGAATTAGATACGCATATTAGCTATGATGTAAAATATCTAAAGTTGGAACTGTAGCAACGTTTAAGATTTCTCACTCTTAAGTGACTACTCCAAACCTCCAAATACCCCAAAGAAGATACTTCAGTTTTTGTACCCTAGATAAGTGAGATCCCACTTAGAATCCCGAATTCATGAGCCCAGTCCAAATTTAGTTTCTAAAATTCGCGGTACCTACAGTTGATCTGGACGGTAGAAATATTTAATGTTCACTTCAGCTCAGATATATAAAATGAACAATATATTTAATATAGTAACACTAGAAACCCTAATAAGCAATGCAGACGAGTGATGCTAAATGGGTAAGTATTTGTGCAAATATTCTTTAAAGATTCGTTCTTTAGCAATCACATCTACCACTACAAGGGCAAACTCGTGGGATCAACTATAGATCATTACGGTATCAAAACATTAAAACTATATTATTAGAACTTCAAAATGAGTAGAGAAGTTCTCATGTAAGGATATGAAAAATGTCACTAATAAAGTAGTTTCGAGGTAAGGGTTAACTGTTCAAGACAGTAAAATTTGACAACAAGTAACAGATAATGTTAGGTCATGCATATGAAATACGGTCAAACAATAACATGATCATTAAATGTGATAGACTCAAAATATCGAAACGCTTAGTAAAGGGAATGTAAAACAGAAACCGAAACACCAGTGTCGTCATAGAACTGATTACAAGCCAAAGTTTGTAAGCATTTAAAAGATGATTATGGGCAAGCTAACAATATGATAGAACTCTCGAGTGTGTCAAATGAATTGTAGCGGTAAATAAATCCCCAAAATAAATAGCTCTGTAAGTTTTCGACAATGGATGCTGACCACATTAGTTCAAATGGACTCACTGAGCTGTAGGTGCTCGGTCATGTATCCGCACCAAATCATCAGTGGGAACGCCGTGCTCAACAACCCCTGCAATCGCTAGCCAGATTAGACCAGACGATCTTCGATATATTGACAGCCTACCAAATACATCTACAAACCTCCTCGCTTCTGTCTTCTGATGTCATTTCATTTGTACGCTTCATGTTAGAATGTGTTACTGGTTAAAGCATTGTCAAATTCCGAATACCTGTGGCATCTTCAGAATATTGGTGTCAGTATGTCCATTCATTATGCTTGGGAATGATTTTCATACTCCAGTCAATAAGAATCATTATAGATCCTCGACTTTCACATTTAGTGATTACCCTATGGGGCCAACGAAATATCACAGAGCCCTAGTCATATCATACTGTATGCAGGTCACTGAATGTCGAACAACATACCTATGCTCACCATAGTCGAGGGAAACTTTGTGCACCTATAAATTGCACGCCACGTCCTGGCCTATGTGGCACTGATTGTAGTCTTTTTCTCCACTCTGTTGAAACTGATACATTTCATATATAACGTTACGTTAATTTTATTCGATTTCCAAAGTAGTCACAGTATCCAAGTATCATGAGTAATCCACGCCAGACATTAATTGGGAGAGTTAAATTCACTGCAAGCTAGGAGGTCACACAATTCTCGTTCACTTCGAGAAAACTACAGTCATCGTATGGACCATTTACATTGATAATATACAACTCAAAGAGAGAAAAAACTCAAATAAGTATTACCAGCATTGTCTGCTAACAGAATTAAGCATTTTCTGTTCGTACGGAAGTATTTTTAGAAACGACTAACACAGGTCAATTAATATAGACGTTGACTGTACTTTGGTTTTAGTGCTTAGCTTTTCAAGGTCATGTACGTTTTTCTTTTACATCACTTTTAAATTTAGCCCTAAACAGAACTTACTACATTTCCTCAGTTAGGAATATACCTGTTGGAAGCTAAACGGTTCGCAGATATGAAAAGCATTCTTAAGAATAGATGTGTGAATAGTAAGTTCTTATATTATTTTCAGACGTTTGTGCATGAGTTACAATTATATTTGGTTCCTAAAGAATATTTATCTAGTTCTTTTCATTTATATTCTCAAAAAAGAGCTTGAAACACTGCAATCAATAGGAATTTTATTTTCTTCATCTTATTACACATTTAAGATGGTGACTTGTGGGTACTATGATTTCTGGTCAATCAAATATCACTGCTTGAATAACGGTTCATTAGCCATAAAATACTACCCTTTGAGTTTCAGTCTTTCATGTGACAGATCATTGCTTCTTGTAAATTAAATTAAGAGGTAAGATGCCAAAAAAGCAGTACACAGAAGATTTACTCACAATGTGTACGTTTTTATGACTATATACCTCTTAAGGTATTGTGCAAACAAGTGCTTCTCATTTTGGTTTGTTTTCCCAAATGTTGGTACTGAACTGTTGAATCAAAAATATCTAGACCAAATTCGTATGCTGGTTTTTTAATTCAAAGTGAAATCAATCAACTATAGTGTAATACGGCAGATGATCTGACCAATTATTTTAACAACAGGAAAACTAGACTATAATCGTTCACTGAATGTATTTGTTAGAATTGATAGGCAAAGTTGACGATGCTATTTCTTCTCAAAATGTTCGATTTTTGGTGAAACCAACAAACACTACTAATGTGCAACGAGGACGTGTGTTAATGTTTATGTCACGTAGCAAGAATGCACATTAAATCCATTATGTATATAAAGTTCGAGATTGTAGAGCATCCCTTAAACTGACAGTTTTGCTGAAACCATTTTTGCCACTAAACGACTTATAAGAAAGTTTTGAGTCGATTTTGACTGCAGTCTTCAGAGGGCTGTAAGTCAAGATACTGTTAGAATGCTTTCGACTCTTGACGGTTGTCTTTAAGAATTTTATGTTGTCATTTCCTGAGAGGAAGTGCATTCCTTCAGTTGCGTTAATATAATGTAGAGGAATAGATTTTTGTGAAATCCATGTAAGTTTTACACTAACTACCTTTATTATCAATCCGATTCCCAAACGTAACTCCTTTCCTGAGCTTTTAGCCCCAAATCACTTGAGTCTAGGCTTATTCCAAGTATCAAAGTTTTATTTTGACTGATAAATCTTAGGTAGTATTCTGGTGTTGGTCTTTTTAAAGTTTTAACTGTCTTGCACATAAATTGGAGAGAAGTTACTTAATTTAAACCAAGGATACCAATAAGTATAACATTGAGATGCCATGTTGGTAATATTATATTTTCGTCGTTCTGAACGGTCACTGGTTGTGTATAACTAAGACTCTATTTTTATTTGTCAAGCTTTCGGCGTACAGGCATTCTGTTTGTTGAATAGTTGGGAAAAAGTTTATCAAACGTAACTAGACAACCTATATATTTTATTTATTGTACTAAAATACAGGTAGAGTGTTAGAATTATTTGGACGGTGATGTGATTACTTTTCCGGTTTTCGTTAAACGAACTAATGAGGTTTGAAATCAGAAACAATTTTAGTTATGATTGTGTGGCAAATTTGCAAGGTAATAAACTTCAAAAGAAACTTGGAAATACATCTAAGCAAATTAAATGTGTTCATATTGAATTAGGAATACTATTCTGAGAGAGTTCACTGTATTATTGAAGTATTAAAATTGCTTAATAATCTAGACAGCACATAAAGTATGTGGGTTACATCTTAATAAATAGACGATAGAAACATACTAAATTGCAAATATTATGGTTTACATTCCAAGTTTTATGGTATTAGGTGGTCAATTACTGTTTAATAATCAATTAGAAATGATATTTAGCAATCTATTCTGTTGAATGCCGATCACAAACTTGGTTAGAGACTCTTGGTGACATGGCTCAGAATCAATCACAATGGCGTCGGTGTATACACTCTCTATCTTCCCTTATACTTTGAGATTAAAATCGCTTCATATCTTTCTTTCTACGAACTAATTCTTTCTTCCTGTACTATATCATTATTGCAATCTTTCTTTTATATATTACCACCTCTGCATTAACTACTTTTATGAATTCGGTGTCCATCTTGTTGTATTAATGAGGTATGACAACTTGAAGCGATGCATTAATGTGCCTTGTCCTACGTTGTAGCTGACTGACTGACAAACTTGCTTTGGAACTGAATGGTTTTCATACAGTAAATTTCTGTGAAATTCAATAATCTAATATCGTAGTGAGTTCGATAGCTTAGAGTGAAGTAATTGTTCAGTACAAAATCATAAATTCACTTTACAGAAATGACTCGTCAGTATGCGTACTGGAGATAGTTAAATTTCATATAATTCGTGAATCAGTATAAATGAGATAACTGGTGAAAACACAAAAGCACTGAATGGTCATATTTTCTGTCTGTTTAATTAGCTTTTGTGTTTGAAGTTTATTTAACTTCTTGACTCATACGCATTTATGACGTAAAATTCCCAATTATTAAATTTGATAAAGTTTTATTTACTTTATAAGTTACTAATACTATTACTTAGGAGGCTGAACATTTTATCGTTCCAGTTTAACATCACTGATTCATGAACTTGATTTATGTCATATGGTTAATAAACACACTTATTATCTAAGGTTGTGATTATAGTAGGTTATACGGAAGTATTTAGGTTTTCTTTTACCAAAATACTGTCCAATAGATTGGGTATTTTAAAAAAGTTCTTATATTGAGAGAATAATATTTCCATGTTATTGCGATGTTTTTCACACATCTTTTTGCTGTTAAAATTCAAATTCACATATTAAACATCTATGTAACTTATACAGTTACAATATTTCGTAAATGGCTGTTTTGCTTAAAGTGGCTAAAGATATTTCTCAATAGTTCATTGGTAGTGAAAAACGCATACAACCATTTTATGTTGTTTGTATTCTCATTGCTTTAATACTGTTTTCTAGATTGATAATTCATTTTGTCAGCACATATAGCGCGAACAAATTACAAGATAGTTTGCGATGAATTGAATTGCTGTTTATTTAGGTTTTTAGTATTTCTATTGTTATCTATGAAGCTGTGAATGATTGGTTTTGAAAATTGATTTTCATGTAGTGGATTACAGGCCTAAGTTTGATTCCATTCATTAAGATGGGAACATTTAGGTGGTGCAATCATAGATATTAAAAACAGATTAGGTTTATAGCTTGTCGGCAAATCATCTGATCGTTACTGAATTTCATTCTATCAGTTTTATAATTGGAGTTATCATTCTAAAAGTTGGAGACCATTCAACTGGTGGTATGCAAAATCTACGGAATTATTATACATCAATAAACCAAACGTTTATTGAGCTTATTTTCAAGTCTATGAGTCGTATAAAGTACTTATCAAATAATGTTTGTTGATGACCGTAATCAGTAAGAAATATGCAGTGTTCACCAGTGACTTGCTATGAAATGAATTATCAAAGTTCTTTCGGGAATTCATGAACGATGAAGTTGGTCGTTCTGAAAGTGAGACAGTAATCACACACAACATTGGATGGTCATCATGTTATATTATTCTTTGGTTAGAATTTAAAATATTCAACTATTAGTCTACATGTATCATGTTCACTGCTGGTTGTAATGGTTATCAATCCTACAAATGTGCGCCGCTTAGGAAATACGGCTGAAAATATTTTACATATATGTATACATATAAATATTCGTGTATTAAGTTTGGCTCGACCATAAATTACTGTTCCTACGGTTATCTTATTAAAGTTCTAGTTTATTTCTTTGCGGTAGTCAGTAAAGACGACAAATAATCACTTATTGAAGTTACCGATATTCAATAGCTATATAACCGATTAAAAGTACCCATTTAGTATTGGTGGTTACGGTTGATATTATTGCTTTTTTTACTGCAAATTCTAGTTTAATCTCAGCATTCATTGTGATAGGGTTGCAACTGTGTAATTTAATCACCTCAACCTCTACTACTCCATCATAAGTTTAAAACTTCATCCAATTTGATCCCATCATTTTTGTCATGAGCTTGAAAATAAATAGCGACAAAGAAATAATATGAGTTCACTTCACTTTTCCAGGTTTTCATCAGCTACTCAGAACCTGTAATTCTTCTAAATCAAATCACAAAAGTAGTGAAAATTTCCTACATAAATGAATTTAGTGATTTAATAAAGATAAACGTAAACTTCAACGATTGATTAAAATATGTTTACGATTAGTAGTGTAATCCAGGATAGATTTCTCGTTGAATTTAGAACTGGCTAGCTTGGTATACCTGGATTCCAGAATATTGACATTATCTCCGAGTCTCGAATCTAGCACCTTTCATTTCAATCATCAACTCATTATTTATAACGTTTAGATAGCTAGTAGGTTAGATGATAAGTAAAAATCGATTCATAAAGGTTCATACTTTTCAACATTAAAGACTGTAATTGACTAGTCTCATTTGGAATATGTTGAAATATTAGTATTTAGTCAGAATCTATACATACTAGCTATAGTTAATCAAATGAAACTCATAACATCCAGTAATGTGACAATCATGGATTAAAACAAAATCAATCCAACAGATTCATTAACTTAATGTCTATTTTTCACTTTATACTCAGTTAAGATTCATTTTCCTTTATTCTATCAATTGTTTATTTATTGTATGAATTTATTCTTACCTGTCATAATGTTAATCATTTCTAATGAATAAATAAATGAATAGGTGACATGAAATGGGAGGTAATAGTTTAAAACAAAATATAAAGAAAATAATTTGGAAGTGATTTGAACTTTACCTTGAATAGATATACATAAATATACTATTGAATTTCAAGTAAATTAATAGGAATAGACTACAAGGTCCAATGTCTCTTTGGATTTACTGTTTTCAGCTTCGTAAATTTCATTTTTTTTTTTCGAGGTAAAAAGTGAAAAGAGAAGTGAAAAAAAAGAAAGGGAAATATAGGCGGGTTAACTGTTTGACCAGTTTTTCTCTTATTCTCTATCCATACATACTACTACCATTATTGTTACTT